AGAGAGACAGAGACAGAATCTGAAGCAGGCTCCAGGCTCTGAGCTGTCAGCACAGAGCCTGATGTGGGGCTTAAACTCACAAGCCATGAGATCATGACCTGAGCCAAAGTCCTCAATGGACTGAGCCACCCAGATGCCCCTCTATCCGTAAAAGTTTTTACAATGTTATTCTGACTTAGGGGATTGTTCCTCACACCCATTTTCCTCTTCCCATCTCCTGCCTTAGGAGTTTGTTTCATACCTGACTTAATATTTATGCCTTTCAAAAGTACTCTTTGATTTCTTAGTCTTCACATTGTCTAATTGTTTTTAGTGAGGTTGCAATTTTCTCGTAAATGCTGCTTTCTTTTTAAAAAAAATTTTTTTTAATGTTTATTTATTTTTGAGAGACAGAGCGAGAGCAGAGGAGGGGCAGATAGAGAGGGAGACACAGAATCTAAAGCAGGCTCCAGGCTCTGAGCTGTCAGCACAGAGCCCAACATGGGACTCAAACCCACAAACCGCGAGATCATGACCTGAGCTGAAGTCAGACGCTTAACTGACTGAGCCACCCAGGTGCCCTAAATGCTGCTTTCTAAAATATATATTCCAGGGGCACCTGGGTGGCTCTGTCAGTTGAACTTCCATCTCTTGATTTCAGCTCAGATCATGATCCCAGGGATCCCAGGGATTGAGCCCCATGTCAGGCTCTGTGCTGAGCATGAAGCCTGCTTGGGATTCATTCTCTCCCTCCCTCTCTCTCTGTCTCTCTCCCTCTCCCATTCTCCCTTTCCACCCCTCTCACCACCCCCCCCCACTCTCCCTCCCTCTGCCTCTCCTCCCACATGTGCATGATCTCTCTCTTTCAAATAAATGGAAGAAATTAGGTTTAAATAATAAATAAAATATATATTCCAAAGCAAATCTTACTACAAGTGTAGCTATCAGATGAATCAACTTTGTTTCCATAAAGTTTCTACTTTTATTAAAAAATAGAGGAACATGTATTAATATACATTTTGTATTTTCTTAACTTCAGTTGGCCCATCCTGTCCCACAGGCTCTTCTCAGGACTACCATACCATGAGGGCTGTCTTAACTAAGTAACTGAAGATAATGTTTAAATGCATAAACGAATGACCTGGTGTATTTACAACCTACCTCCAAGTATTGTAATTTAATTTTCTTTGCTACTTCTTTGCAGAGTCCTGGACAAGAAAGATAAACTAGGATAAATAGCATTTCTGAGATATTGCAGTTACATGGTTGTGGTGGAAAAACAAATCAGAGTTGTTGTGTTGGTACAGATTAACTAGAGCCTGACATTTGAATAATGTAGATATCAGAGTGTGAAATCACAGTGAGAAAGTGACTTCAAAATCTAAAACACAGGCCTCACAGTTTTCTTCCAGCTTGGTTACCATTTGCTAGTGACCCTCCCTGTCTTTTTGCCCTTTTTTTGTCCCCCAATCTGTAAAATCGAGAAGATAACCGAAACCTGCTTTGCACATCAGTTTTGAGAAGTAACCCCAACAGAACGTTGAAATCCACGACTAAGCGGTCTGAGATGATGACAGTGTGTTACAGTATCACGTTCAGGGCAGGAGGGCCCTGTCGCCCACATTACTTCTCACAGGAATTTGAATGTCATTTATTTAGATCTCAGAAGTGTGTGTTGATTGTTTCTAGACAACTCGAGAGATGATGGCTCGTTCTGCTGCTACCCTCATCACACATCCCTTCCACGGTATGTTTGCACTTGGTAACTGAAATCTGATTTGTGACCTTACTTTTTAGAGCATGATCTCTCCTCTCCAACTGCTTAGACAGATTGATGTGGGAGTTCACTTAAGTGCCTTGCCTGTGTGTTTTTTGTTTTTTGTTTGCTTACTTGCTTTGGCATTTATCCAGTTTACCCAGAGAGCAAAGTGTCTTTAGGCGGAAAAAACTTTTTTTCTTTTTCAGGGCTGTCAAAATTTATGTCGACGTAGTTTTAAAAATCTTTTCTCTGTGTTCTGCAGTGATCACTCTGAGATCTATGGTACAGTTCATCGGCAGAGAATCCAAGTACTGGTAAGTGTTTTTATTTCCAAGGATTCAAGGAGATCAGTTGAAGTGCTTTACATTTTTTTTTTTTTTAATCTTTATTTATTTTTGAGAGAGAGAGAGACAAAGTGCGAGCAGGGGAGGAACAGAGAGAGAGGGAGACACAGAATCCAAAGCAGGCTGCAGGCTCCAGGCTCTGAGCTGTCAAAAGTGCTTTCCATTTTTATGGTGCCTTAGATATATCATTTTGATCAAGTTGATATATCATTTGATATGCACACACACAGAAAAGGGAAAATAGAAGAAAATGGCCTGGGCACGTTTAAGAAGCTACCCAAGATCTCAGAGTAAGTTGCAGAGACACTAAAGCCAAAATTCACCCTGACTCCATGTAACTAGGTAGTAATATCTCCACACCTGTCCCAAATTCAACTGTCTTTACAGAGTAAGGGTGGCAGAAAAGGGGGTGGGATATAAATTTGACCTTGTCAAAAGTGATAATTGAACGTTTTCTTTAATAGCTCCAAAATAATCTTCATGTATTTTTGCCTTTCCATCTTCTGTACGTTAGTGGACTTTATGACTCCATAGTAACCATCTATCGTGAGGAAGGCATCCTAGGATTTTTTGCGTGAGTAAATTGTTGATTTGTGTGTGATTATTTGTGGGAGTGGAAAGCTTTAATGAAAATAAGGACATGACTGTTTAATCCCTGGAGAAAATGTACTCTCTGGGTTTACTTCATGTTAAACTCTATTAAGGTCCCTCTGACTTAAATTCTCTTGTAAAGATCCCAAACTTTTACTTCCAGACATCTAAAACACTGGAAATTAGAGGGTTTTGTTTTTTGTTTGGGGGATTTTTTCATTTTGTTTTAACAAATAAATTTATTCCAAGTTTCTACCTTTATAATAAGTTCCTAATGATGTACAGTTGATAAACTAGGGAAACTTAATTTTTGAAAAATGGGAGAATTACCTAACATGTATCTTCCTTATCCTGTGAGTAACATGTTTTTGCAAGGCTATATCTGTTCCCTTGAATTTCCTTTAGAAGAACTTAGACTACTACTGTCATTCTTCTGTTAACAACAGAAACTGTAAATGGTCCTTTTTCATTTTCAGAGGGTTTCCATGTTACTGATTTTATTTGAGCGTCCTAGTCTGGGAGAGGGGCGCCTGACTGCCTCAGGTGGTGGAGCACACGACTCTTGAGTTCAAGGTTGTGAGTTCCAAGCCCCACGTTGGGCATGGAGCCTACTTTAAAGAAAAAAAAAAAAAAAGTAAAACCAAACAAATCGCCTGGGAGATAGGCAGGGTGGTTACTATTATTCTCATTATAGAGGTGAAAAAAAGTTGATGCTCTGGGAATTTCATTTGCTGCCGGTCACGTAGCTGATAGGTAGTGGAAGTGGCATTTGAACCCCGGTCTTCAGTCTGTGGGGTAATGTTCATCCCGCAATTGCATACTGCCTCACCTAGGTCACCCAGGCCCTGGGAATGTGTTTTTTGATATCCCTCATCTATCTCTGGGCCATTTTTGTTTTGTTTTGTGATTTTGTAGCCATTTTTAGCCCTGTCAAATTTAAGTATCAAATACCTTAGCCAAAATTATATGTATTTTTAAAATTATTATTCATTTATTATGATTTACATGTTTTTTATTCCTAATCACTTATTATGCATTCTTTTTTATTATTTTTTTTTAACGTTTATATATTTTTGAGACAGAGAGAGACAGAGCATGAAGGGGGAGGGTCAGAGGGAGAGGGAGACACAGAATCTGAAGCAGGCTCCAGGCTCTGAACTGTCAGCACAGAGCCCGACGCGGGGCTCAAACTCATGGACCACAAGATCGTGACCTGAGCTGAAGTCGGACGCTAATCGACGAGCCACCAAATCCCATGCATTTGTTTCTTTTTTTTTTTTTAATTATATCCAAATTAGTTAGCATATAGTGCACCAATGATTTCAGGAGTAGATTCCTTAGTGCCCCTCCCACAACCCCTCCAGTAACCCTCAGTTTGTTCTCCACTATTTATGAGTCTTCCTTCTGTTTTGTCCTCCCTGTTTGTATTATTTTTTGTTTCCTTCCTTCGTTCATCTGTTTTGTCTCTTAAAGTCCTCCATATGAGCTAAGTCATATGGATTTTTGTCTTTCTCTGACTGATTCACTTAGCATAATACCCTCCAGTTCATCCACATAGTTGCAAATGGCAAGATTTCATTCTTTTTGATTGCCGAGTAATACTCCATTGTATATATATCCCACATCTTCTTTATCCATTCATCCATCGATGGACATTTGGGCTCTTTCCATACTTTGGCTATTGTTGTTAGTGCTGCTATAAACATTAGGGTGCATGTGTCCCTTTGAAACAGCACCCCTGTATCCCTTGGATAAATACCTAGTAGTGCAATTGCTGGGTCGTAGGGTAGTTCTATTAGTTTCTTGAGGAACCTCCAAACTGTTTTCCAGAGTGGCTGCAGCAGCTTGCATTCCCAAGCCAAAACTATATTTAAGTCTCTTATCTGAAGCAGGCACATTTTTGTCCCCTCTTGCTTATAGTTATTGATAGTAAGATGAACCATTGGCCAGAGCTCCAGGATGTATAGCTGGTCTGCATTTGAAAAATGGAAATTGGGTTGCTTGGGTGGCTCAATCCATTAAGTGTCTCAGTCTTGATCTCAGCTCAGGTCTTAATCTCAGGGTCATGAGTTCAAGCCCTGTGTTGGGCTCCATGCCCAGCGTGGAGACTCCTTTAAAAAAAAAAAAAAAAAAGGGAAAATGGGAAAGTCATTAGAGATTAGCCTCTAGTATAGTTACATTACGTAGAATGAACTAGTTAGGACTAGATTCTGGCGGTCAGTGTCTTTTCAGTTCTCTAGAAGACTTTAAAATCTGTCTTTGAGAAGTGTTTGTATTGAGTGGATTATCTTTTTACTGATCACATTTTTTGGCTCTTATTTTTATTGTTTTTCATGTAGGGGTCTTATTCCTCGCCTCCTAGGTGACATCATTTCTTTGTGGCTCTGTAACTCACTGGCCTACCTCGTCAATACCTATGCACTGGACAGTGGGGTAGGTTGTGATCTTGATGAGATGTGCTGGTGCTGACTTTATTGTTTTCACTGGGCAGCTTGGGTAGCTTTAAAGTAAGGTACTGTACTAGTCTGTACAGCACATGTGACTTGGGGTTTTGAGTTCAAGCCTCACATTTGGCATGGAGCCTGCTTAAAAAAAAAAAAAAAAAAAAAAAAAAAAAAAAAAAAAAAAAAAAGATAAAGTAAGGTGGCACTTTATTATCAGTCAGCTTTTCAAAGGCTAATGGAATGACCTGTGCTATTTACCATGAAAAGATGCACCTAAAAAATCCTTAGGGTATGGCTGAGTCAGCCGAAGAAATCTAGCCCTGTCTCTGTGCTGCAAGGAGATCACATCTGTATTGGTACATAATTTTGGAGGGCAGTGCAAAGCAGGACAGTTTTATAGCATATTGATGGTGTTTCATCTAATCTGAAGTGTTAATGGGACTCCTGCTTTGGGCTTTTTAGAAACCTCAGCCTGGGAAGTTTTGAGAATTAGTCTTTCCTGGAAGCTGCGGGCCTCTTCGTGCACAGGCAGCCCCATAGCATAGTGGGAAATAGAACACACACAGAGGGAGGACTGAATCCACGCTGTCCACTTCTAGAGTACGGAGACTTGTCTCTGCAGCATCTGGTGCACAGCTGGGTGTATATAGAGGTAATGACTTGTCCCTCAGGTGTACCACAAATGTAGTTTCCAGGGATTGGATTTCTAGGACATCAGAAAAGGTTACTTTTTTTTTCTTTTTTTTTTTTTTAAATCCTGGGTCTATCACATTTGTTCCTAAGCCATTGTAGTCTAATGCAAATTTGTCTCTTAATGTTGAATCAAGTTGATGATTTAGTTCACTGCCTTTTTATGGTCACAATCAGTATTTTATGTTTTCATCTCAAAATTAATTTTTAAGCTGTCAAAGAAACTAAAAATTTAGCGATCGAATATATTGATATGAGTGGGGACAATTAGCTGTTAGCATCATCTTAATTTTCTCATTCTGAAAAGGCTTTATTCCTGTTTTAGGTTTCCACCATGAGTGAAATGAAGAGTTATTCCCAAGCTGTCACAGGAGTGAGTTTTTTAAAACCCCCTTAACCTTCTAGTTGTGTTTTGTTTCCTTTTCAATTTCATCTGGGTCGTGTCATCACAGATGTCTCACAGGAATGTCTCTCAAGTTCATTAATGTTTCTCAGAGGTGAGAATGACCCAGGGTCCCCTTGTCACAGGAGTGGCATTAACAAGCCCACGTGGTTTGGTCTATGCCACTGTGCCCCCAAGTCTCAGGCCTGCTGCTCGTGGCACCCCACTGATCCTGTACCAGACAACTTCACCCTCTTGAGTCTGTGGAGTTTTCCAGTAGTTGACTTCTGAAGTAACTTCCATCATTTTTGGAAGGACCTCATGTTTTCTTACTTTCTTCAGGGGTGTTTTGAAAGGCTTCATTGTATTTGATTGCATTTACTTTTTCTCTTAAATAATGTAATTCAGTTTTATTTGAAGGAGGACTCTGTCACGGTACAAGATGCCTTCTGGCCTTTTGTTAAAGTGTTGGATGTATCGGTATGTTAAGAGGAGGAAGCATTTCCAGGCTCAAAAATGTGAGCTACTGAGAAAGCAAAGCTAGTGGTGGAGCGTTGCCCACAGTGGCGCTAGGGCTTTAAGGGAGAGGAAGGAAGAGAATAAAGATTCAGAATGACCTAATAACTTAGCTGTCTTTTTACCACTTCACAGTTTTTTGCCAGTATGTTGACCTATCCCTTTGTGCTTGTCTCTAATCTTATGGCTGTCAACAACTGTGGGTAAGTGCCCTGCATTTCTTATTCTAGTAGTTGGCTGCCTGTATGCCTGCCCGGCAGAGCAGTCCAGGGAGAAATTTGGGGAGGAAAAGTACAGTTGATGCCGTTACTAGATTTCCTAAATCTTTTCCCTGAATGCCCCATGTACCAGCGGTGGCATCAATGTATGTTTGATTATAAGCAGCCGTCTCATATCCTCTGTTAGAATATCTCTCAAGTACTTACAGATAATATTCCCTTCCCTGTAGTTTAGGTCCTCTTCTGAAAAGGTGGGATTGTGATCAAATGACTCTATTTCTATATCTTTCCTTTATTTGAAGTCTTTATCTTCCTTTTAATGAAACTTACAAAGGATATGTCAGGGGTTGAGTGGCAGCTTGTCGGGGCTTCATGGAGAAAGTAAGTTTCTTTCCTAGGAACTTCATGGAAAAAGAAAGTTTTAAAGAAAGAAAAGTAGGATATTTGGTCCATAGAAAGTTTCTTTCTTTTTTTTCATGGGAAGTTTTTTAACCTTTCACTGTGTTGGTTGAGAAGGATGGATGGGGGTACGGTGGTGGACACCACCGATTTCCAGCTTCTGGACGCCAAGTAACGACCGCATTGGGCAGGAGTTTTGCCTCTTTCTTTAAGTCAGGACAGTTCCAGTGCAGTGCCTGGCGCCATATGCCGTTAGACGTGTCACTGTTTTCAAACAAGGTATCAAATAGATAGCTGTGTGGAGATTCGAGCATAGTTATACTTCCTGTCATGTCACATTCTGGTTGTTTTGTGCCCAGTAGGGCCCCTGCCACATCTTAACCCAGAGCGTAGTAAAAGAATGAGTTGAGGGTATTACTGTCCCTGACAGATTTTTAGGGAGGAAGAGATTACGGGTTATATCTGAGTAAAGTATGTAGTCACCACTGTTTAGATTCATTGCCATATTTAGGCTCTGTTGAACATCACTTAGCTTTTAAGTCTCCTTTCCCTGCTTATAACTGCTGTGTTCTAGAATTATATTTGTTCACAAATTAAAAACCCAGATGTTTTAGAAAATGCCTAATTGGTTGACGTTTCTGTTTCCTTGCTGTTTCAAAACCTAAATATGAGGGAGGAAAATCCTTTTGGGATGCTTGCTCTTTTTTCCCTTTCTGAATATTTGTTTCATTAGAGCTAAAATTGTCTCTTGGGGAACTTTCTAGGTAAGAGAGTATTTTGACAAAGATTTATTGAACTCTTGAGAGAACGCTTTGTAAATGTTAATTTGAATAGCTAATCTTTTTTTTTTTTTTCCTCCGGTTTAGGCTTGCTGGTGGATGCCCTCCCTACTCCCCAATATATACTTCCTGGATAGATTGCTGGTGCATGCTGCAGAAGGAGGTACTAGTGTCTTACTCTCTCTCTCCTTCCATCCCTCCCTCCCTTCCTCATCACCCCTCCTCTCTATTTTCTTTTATTTTGTTTTTGTTTGTTTTCTTAAATAACGTCTCTGGAATCCCAGGTTAATTTTTGTAGCTTACCCTTTAACTACCAATTAATGCACCCTTTCCAGTGTTCCATGTATCGCTCCAGCATAGTCAAAAAAATGTGCTGCTGAGAAGTCATCAGGAGGGGCAATGAGGAATTGAGAATCTCTGGATGTGACCTGGAAGCCATTTGAGCGATCACATTCAAATTACAAGTAGGGTCCAGGTAGACAGTTATCCTGGTGGTTAAAATGATGGCCTCGATTTCAGATTATTTTTTTCCAACCTCATCTTTTTTCTTGTAACTTCCCACAATCTCCTTATATATTCAGGTGTTTTCCTACAGTAGAGAGGAAACTGAGAAACAAGAAGCTGTTTGTTTTACGACATTATTTGTCACAGTGATGTTGATGGAGCTGGCCTCTTACTTCTGGAGTGTTTTTAGAGAATGATTTTGTCCAGACTCCAGTTTCTGGGTTTGTTATTGTGAGGTGTGTCACATGCAACCACAGGTCTCAATCAGTCTGGCCAAAGCTTTATTAGGAACCAAAATGGGTGGCTGTGTGCTGAATGTAACACGGGATCACTTCTAATGGCCATCAGTTTAAAGCTGTTTTTAAGCGGGAAGCACTTTTTAGAGGATTGTAGAAGATAGCGTATGAGGAAGCTCTTTGTTGCATTTTGTTATGGCACTTGTAATGCGTGTGAGAAAGGCCTTTGTTCACAGAGCTCAGCCTAAACTATGAATGAAAAAGGCTTAAGTGCTACTGTAGCTGCCTTTTTGCCCAGTGTGCAAGCCCAGCAAGCCTTGTGTGAATCCAGGCTAGAACACGAACGATTGCCATACACACCTAACATGAACGTTCTGGGTTCCATTCTGAGTCTTACACTCTCTATTGGGCAGTCTCTTATCGTGGTCCCCATTTAAAGGAAAGATGGCCTTTCTTTCCCTGCTTCCTAACTAACCCCCTGCTGTCGGAAGATAGCAGATAGAAAATGTATTAGGGTATCAGACACCTTGTCAAGGGAGCAGTCAGTCCCAGAAGTGCTTAGGACAAGAGCAGCAATCTTGATGGGGTATTTGCTATATATCAGGCATCGTGCTGAGAGCCTGTATCAGCTCGTGCAACTCTCAAAATAACCATATGAGGAGGATGCATAGGTACCATTCTTTATCATCCCACTTCCCATCTGAAGAAACTGGGACTTTGAACCATTAAATAACACTAATTATATAACCCAAGGTTATAGAGTCTGTATTTGTGAGAGCGGGATCTGTGTGCAGCCAGTCTAACTTGAGTCTAGTCACTTAAGCTCCTAAGGTTATTGCTTTAATTGTAACATTTTAGAAGTACTTCATAGAGACCTGACCATTCCATTAAAAAGTAAATAAAATCTAGCACTTGGCGAGTGGTAGGACTGTCTCCGCACTTTGTATGTACTGACTCATTTGATAACCCAGCCGGCAAGTGGCAGAGCCAGAATCCAAACTGGGAATTCTGTCAAAATAAGTCAGAAATTCTTGCCTTACCCGCATGGCAAAACTGTAAGTTAGTTCCACGAAAGCTCGGCTTGAGTCAGAGTGCACGTTGCTGCTCTGTACAGTGACAGCCCAGTCTTTCCTGGCCATTTTAGTCACGTCTCCAGAAACGTGTCCAGTTGGATCTCTCTGCTGATTTGGACTGGCTGACCTCATGTTCACACTAGACTTTATTTGTTTTTATTTTATTTTTTTTTCCAGGGAAATATGAGCCGAGGAAATAGCTTGTTTTTCCGGAAGGTCCCCTTTGGGAAGACTTATTGTTGTGACCTGAGAATGTTAATTTGAAGATGTGGGGCAGGGACAGTGACATTTCTATAGTCCCAGATGCACAGAATTATGGGAGAGAACATTGATTTCTATACAGTGTGGCGCGCTTTTTTAATAATCAATCTTGGGAAAATGGAGGTGTTTGGTGTCTGCCTTTTTTGTTCTTTTTCCCAGCACTACGTAATTTACCACTGAGAGTTCCCCTTAGTTACTATCCTGAAATGGGATGTTTGTGCCTCAGATTCCTTACTTAGAAAACAAAAGTTGCATTTTCCTAAAGGTATAGGCAGGTGGTCATGTGACTTGAGTCTTAATTTTAAGGCTTTTAAAATGTAGAGTACATTCTCAAGAAAGAAATAGTTCTATAAAACTTAAGAAATTTAATAAGGTAAACTATATGGGAGGTTATGCATACCTTTTCTTTAGCAGACCCTAAAACCTCAGCATCCACCAGAATCTGCCTCTCATTATCTGCTTCTAAGCACATTTGATTCACCCTCTCATTCTTCAAAAAAAAGACCATTGCTAAATTACCTTGGAAAATCTCTACAGGGGTATCCACTCCTTCAGTTTCTTATTGCAAAGTAATAAATTGTTGCCAACAACAAAAGGGAAAATTACAGAGAACAAACAAGATTTGGAAAGGAAGCATAATGGCTTCTTTCCCCCCTCCAAAGAAATTCTTATCATATAAAATATGAAAAGCAAATACAGCAGCAGTAACCCCCCCTTTTTTTCAGTAGCCCCCTTTCTTAGAAGTCTTTGCGGAAGTCCCTAAATTATTTTCATTGTATATAATTTTTCTATGTGATTATAATCTTACAATATTTTCTTCAGTCTTTAATTTTGTTTCTTTTTTGTTGTTGCCAAAGGTGAGTAGTTTACTTTTCATTCCTAATGATGCCCTTGGAAAGTGTACTTATAACTCCTTATCTGATAACGCAGACTTAAGTCCACAGGGTTCTTAGGATGTTGACCATCTCGCATGTCATACCCTCAGTTAAGCATGTTAACATTTATAGGAGGAAAAAAATCACTTTAGAAGGAAATAATTTCAACTCAAGCATAAAGCTCCTATTTACTCAGGCCTTTTTAAAGCAGGTTAAAATGCTCTAAAAAATGAGAAAGCATATGGTTTCACTACTTAAGTAATCCACTGGATGTTGCCAAATGAGCAAGCACTTAATTTGCTGCTTCTCAGACTTCTCTATCAAAAGAGCAGCGCCCATAATATTAGTGTGAGCATGTAGGGGTGTCCTCCCTCCCTCAGGGTTTAGGAATACAGCCTGAAGTTCATGAGTAGCCTACCTTGAAATGTCTTTGATGTCTCTTACTTTGTTGCAAGAATGTAAATTTTATATTCTATTCAATATTATATGCATTTGTTTTAATATGAAAGTGTTTTTGCATTACCCACTCCCCCCTCCCCAAAAAATCTTCAGTAAAGATGATCTAGGAAAATGTGCCATGTTTATTATCCTGTGGCTTCTGTGCTCATAATACCTGCCTGTTTCTAGTCGAGAAGCTTATTGGACTCTAAGAACCAGTCTGCCACCAGAGGGCGCCAAGGCTTCGGTTTTGCCTATGCAATTGGGCCGTGAAAAATTTCAGGAAAGCCTGGGAGTGCTCAAAGTGCTGTCCCATCAGTTAGTCTAACTGCATCCAAGGTATGGCTACAATAAGGGTACTATACCAGTGGTCCTCCATAATATTATATAAGCTGTTAACATAATGAAACATCTATAGAGCTTATTCAGGAGTTAGTTAAATGCGTGTAGGTATTCTTAAGATACACCTGCAAGAAATAATGAACTGACTCATACGTGTAAATAGTACAAACCTAGATAAAGATCATCTAGTAAGCTGCACCTGTGAAACTGGGCAAGTGGTTTGGCTTGGCAAGTGCTGAGCTAAGTTCCCAGGAAATATTCCCCCAGGGGGTGTGATGGTCATTGAAGCAAAGAATCTGGGATTTTCTGCAACTTTTGGAGTGGCTGTATAAACTGCAGAGTATAAGAGTAACCTTAGGGTGAAAGAAACTAACCGTAGCTCTCCATTCCAACTTCTTACTGATACCTAAGCATAACCTCGGCATTGCCTCTAATTTTCTACTCTAGGAATACCTTCCTTTCCCTCTCCTCATTGAGATTTTCCCCGTACGGTGAGATTCCATCCCAGTGCCATCTCTCTGTGAAGTCTCTCAGTCTCTCAGCCCTCCCAACCAGATGAGGTCTGCCTTCAAACTCCTCTGCCCCAGGGCTTGTAATTACAGTACAGACTAGTCTGACAAAATGGAAACTGCATCTGCTACTTACTTCTAAGTTCAAGGCTTACAGAGCAGTGGCATTACTTCTCTCTGATCTGAAAATATGTGAAGAAAAAGAAAAATCCTCTTTAGCCCCTTAAAGCAGGCCCACTAAAACATCAGCCTTGCTGGGCTTTATAGAAAAACTAGCCTTTCACCTAGCAGTACATGCAGTTGGTCAGTTTGAGGTCCTGTGGCAGGTTAAGGGAGCAAGAAGAGAGAACGAGTATTGGGAAGTCGTGACTGTCAGGCCTGTCGTGTAAGTTTTCATTCTCAGAATCTTTGGTAGAATAAGTATCCCCACTTTAGAAATAAAATGAGAAAGAAAATTTAGAAATAAAATTAGTAACTCACTCAAAATTACATAGGTAATTCTGAGTTAGATTCAGATCTGAGTCTTTAAGTCCAAGCTATGTTTTCTGCTTCACGAAGGCTATGAAATGCTGAGAAAACCAAAGAACGTGCCTCCCACAGAGTGAAGTGTAGAAAGGTCTTGCCTCTGCAGAATGACAAATATGAGAAACAACCAAAAATAGAAATGATCGCCATTACTTTCCCAACCATTACAAAAGTTTATGTAGATGGAAAGCTGAGTTACCGTACAGTCAGCATTCCTAGGAGTACCATCAGTCCATGTATGTGGCCTCCTACTATCTTTGGAGAATAACATCTCTGGAAAGTGATTTACGTGTCAGCTCCTCTGATGGATTCTTCTAGAATGTCCCAGCATATTGAATGGGTTCATTCAGGCTGCCTCCCTAAGTGCCATAGTGATTTATGTCTTTGGAGTTTTTTGTGTTTTAGATACAGACAAAGATACATGTTTTTCATCACCTTTAGGCTTACCTAAAGATGTCACATGTGACTTCTCATTAATTTTTTTTTTTCCCATGTTGATCTCTCATCTTCCTGTCTCTTTAGACTTGAATGATCCAGAATCTTGCATTCTGGCTTTTGCCCCAGAGGGAAAGTTGTGAATGAAAGATTCTTTTGTCACCAACCAAAAAATACCTTCTTTCCAGGAAAATATCTTTGATGGTAATGGCGATTAATTTTATAAGGTAACTGAGTGTTTTCCTTCCAAATACCTTTGTGCATATCCAGCAGCTTCCTCACGTTTGCTGCCTAAAACGATGTCTGGAGGAGGGCCCCTAGCAATGCATGTGTGAAGCCTCCCCAACATGCCCTGCTAGTCTGCCGGGACTGTGGGGCTAGGAGCCAGAGTCTTGAAAAGCCCATTTTCCCTTGGTCTCATAAGTGGGTTCCTCTGAGGTCCAGGCCCTGACTGTCCTGGCTGGGTCCAGTGAGGCAGATTTTGCATTAAAACCACAATTGTTCTGGAACCACCTCACTGCAACCCTGAAAAAGGATGTTTTCAAATAGATGCAGATCAGTGCCTTACACCTAAATGCGGTGGGAGAGCAGACAGCTTAGAGAGCAGCAAGGAAAAGAGGGAGAGAAATGTGAACCGGGGGTGCTGGTCAAGACGCCCCACCTTCCTGAGAGGGACAGCGGATGATGGAACGAACCTTGTCCCTCCGAAAGCCTGCAGCATGGCAACGGGTGAGAAAGTCTCCAGCGCCAGCTCCTGTCTTGCTAAGGCAGCCAGAGCGGACTCTTCCAGTAATGCTACATTTTCATGGAAAACCTATTAGGTACTGCGGTTTGTTTCCAGAGCAGCAGAAGGAGCCAGAGGTTAGATAAGGACAAGAGACAATTGTACCTACTTGCTTCCTATCCAGTCTGCGGCCCTGCCCTCCTGGCGTCAAAAGACTGGAGAGAATGTGCTTTGGCTGAAAACGAATAAGGAGGGTGAAAATGGAAAGAACAGAGCCGCGCCTCTCTTCAGACTGCTCACCTCCTACTGGAAAGCTCCATCTCATGCCTTTCCTCCCCCAGGAGGCCCACGTTTAGAGTCTGCAAGTGCAGCGCTCAGTTACCAAGTGCACAGCCCGCACGTAGTCGGTCCTGTGCTGGGGCAGCAGGGAACCGAAGGCGTGTGACAAATCCCGTCCCATGGCACTTGCTGGGCAGTGAGGGAGGGGTGCAGTATGACAAGGACATAAAAGCTAGGAATGTTGGGAGGATTAAGTGGAACCATGTGTGGAGCAGCAAAGCCTGGTGTGCTGCAAGGGCCCTCCCCGAATCTCCACGCCCGCCGTATGGCTTGCACAGAGCAGCCTGTGTGCCAGCAGAAGCTGAAACCAAGCCCCGTGGGATCCACGGGAGGGCACATTCACAGCCTGTCGGGGGGACTCGGGGAGGACTTCACGAAGGAGTGGCGTCTGAGGTGGTTTTTTTAAGGACAGTGAGGATCATGGGAGCAATTTCCAGCCTTGTCACTTAGCGGCCGTGCGGACTTGGGCAAGTCGCTTGATGGTTTTAAGCCTCGGGCTCCTCGTCTCTAAAATGAGAATACTACTTTTCTTATTGGAGTGTCAAATGTAGCGCGGTGTCTGATGGGGTACATTTGGTTTTGGGAGCTGTTGTTATTTAAATGATTAAAAGGGGGGGGTGCTTTACAAGTACAGACGATAGGGACAGGGTCACAGGGTCAGCAGACGCTAGAGTTGAGGGCAAGGGACATCGCGTCTCTATCAGCCCTACCCTTTCCTCTAAGCTGTGTTTCTGCCACGAAATGAACACCCAGAATGGACTGTGACGTGGGACGCAGTAAGGGTCGAATGAATGGACGTCCTTCGGGAACCTCAGACCGAGATACATCTGAGCTCCTCTCCCCAAGCCTGCCCTGGTGGTGCTTGCATTCTCGAACTTGACTCAACCCTTCGTGGTCGCCCTGTTTCCCAGA